ATGCTTCTTGAAGACGACGAGCAATTCGAGCACGAAGAAGCATGGATGGAAGAATGTCAGGAGATTTACCTTAAGCTTTCAACGGACACAGAAGATTTTTTAAAGGAACAATTAGTCCTAAGGGATGGATGATTTTATTTTTGGGGGGGGGGGGGTTGGGCAATTACCAAAAAAAAATTCCTGCACAGCAAAAGTCAAGAAAAAAAAAATCATGCACAGTGGGCCAGGGAAAAAAAAAATTCGAGCAAGCCTTTCTACTGGTAGGATCCTGTTAGAGCAAATAAAAAGGTAATCTGTAATTTTTGTCGATTTTATTTCAACAGACCAAAAATGCTGTTAAACTGTTTGTAAAATAATTCACTTCTTTGTGTTTCATATCATAAATATCAAAAATACAACATTTCCATCCATCTCTTGTAGTAAAACATAAATTTGAACCATTTCACTGAATCTGGTATTATTATAAAAATCAAGTCTTAAAATATCATTTATATTTAAATATAACTTGTATTATAAAATAACTTTTAGCTATCTTCAACATATCTCATATATATTTATTAAATAACAATTACTGCAATGTCTTATAGTGTCTATGTTTCTGCCCCTTTTTCTGCTTCTACAGAAGCTTCTTAACAGACCAAAAATGCTGTTAAACTGTTTGTAAAATAATTCACCTCCTTGTGTTTCATATCATAAATATCAAAAATACAACATTTCCATCCATTTCTTGTAGTAAAACATAAATTTGAACCATTTCACTGAATCTGGTATTATTATAAAAATCAAGCCTTAAAATATCATTTATATTTAAATATAACTTGTATTATAAAATGACTTTCAGCTATCTTCAACATATCTCATATATATTTATTAAATAACAAAAACTGTAATGTCTTATAGTGTCTATGTTTCTGCCCCTTATTCTGTCACTTCTTCTGCTTCTGCCCGTGCCCCTCCTTCTGCCATTGCTTCTGCTTCTGTCACTGTTTTTGCTTCTGCGCCTGCTTTACTCTTCTTTCTTTTTTCCAGAGCAGAGTGTGACAAAAAAGGATACACAAAAGAGAAGAAGATACAAGACATAAAAGCCAATTTCTTTGGCAGACAGCTTAACAGCTCATCCAAGAAACAAAACAATGGTCCAACTTTAATCTCATTACAAGGTACCACGCATAGTCACCCATCTTCAAAAATCACAAGTCAGCCTCCTTCTGCAAATTCCTCGACACTACATGTTCCACCTTGGGGTGGCACCCTAAATAATACTGCTCACATGGTCACACAATCATTAACAAACACTTGCCCCATTGATAATTATTTGACTATATTCTATGTGCTATTAACTGACCACAAGAAGTTACATCAAGAACTTGTGAAGTCAACAGAGATTTTTGCTGGAACCCTCATTCACATCAAAAATTTATTTGACACCAGAATGTTTCCTGAAGCAAAACTTGAATGGCTACATTTGTTTCCAGCAAGATTTGACCTCACAGCACCAATCATTGATTTGTGGGGAAATGAGGATGACCTCTTTCTCTCAAGGCTTCAGCCTGTCTTGCGAACAACATATACTGGAACCTGTTCTTCGCCTGCATGCCCAGCCCAACAGGTGGATTATGTCTCCCACAACGTTATGTTAAGGTACTTGCCTGCAACATTTTATGCATTTATGCATGGCTTTTAAATGATATACCCTTCCATGGAAAGTACAACCAGTCAGAATATTAAAGCATATATTTGTATGTTGCTATTAAAATGTTGCCTGTATGTCTGTGTGTTGTATGTTATCTTTTCTTTTAATTTTATGTATGTCTGTATGTATGCAAAAGTACATGCATGTCTTCTCATATATAAACCCTATTAAAATAATGTATTTAATGTGTTATTTTCAAGTGAGGTTGGCATACCACCTCCAGGATTTCTGCAGATGAGTCTTGACGAGTGGATGTCAACAGATCGTGTGAAAACACTGTGCGGTTCCACTCTTCTGGGTCCACTTACAGGTGGTAGCCCCCACTTTTTTGGGACAGTTCTTAGTCAGTGCCCTAGTTCTGGTCAATTTGTGTAAGTTATACACATTGTTAATTTAAAACAAATAACATTTAACTGAATTTTTGCTTCAAATCAAAATAGAAGCATTGTCACATCAGCATATAGACCATGTAGCTGAAGCTCTTGAGTAGGGTGCTGATGTAAACGTTCATTTCCATGTTTAAATTTGTCCTATTTATAAATATCCTTTGAAATCATTAAATGTATTTATTGTAATAGGATTATATGATTAATTGTACAAGTAGTGTTCATTCCTGTAACCAAGTTATTGGTTTTCCATGTAGGCAACAACTCCAAGCATATTGTGGTGGACAACGGTCTTACCAAAGGCGGACATTTGTACGTGGAAGTCCTCCATTTATCCCCCTTGTCTTGGATCACTTTGCCACAAAGGGGATTCTTGCAGATATTTCTCAGTTACCCCCAGATATCAAGCTTGAAGGACACAGGTAAGCAGTTAGGGTTCACTACTCTATGTGTGTGTTGATACAGTAACACTTTTAAAATGTGCAAAGAGGAAATCATATGTTAAAATGTTCATCAGTGCAAAGAGTGAATCATACCACTCTCAGTGAAATTTATGAGGTTGTGATTTCTCAGAAGAATTTTAATTTATAATGACAGAAGATGGTGTGCTATAAACTGTGTGAAATGTACATATCTTATTCTTGTTTATGTAGAGAATGATGTATTAAACAGTTTGTCATATTTCTTCCAGATATGTCCTAAAGGGTGCTACATTTTATAGTGGAAATCACTATAGAGGTGCTGTAAAGAGGGGAGGCAACTGGTTCCACTATGATGGTCTATGGGAGAGGCAACAGCCAGGAAGTGGATTGAGACTGGGGGGCACAGCTACTCCACATGGCTTTATGCTGTCAAGCTGCATTTATGTCAAGGCTTTGTTACTGTAAGAGGGTGGGAAGTATTAAAATTTGCTAGGTGTTTTCTTAAGACAACATTTGTGTTTTAGATAAGATATTCAATACTAATTTCCTGGCATCGGATAAAAAGATCCAGGCATTTTTACAACATTTGTAATTCAGCTGAACAGAATTCCTTTATATTTATTTTTGTAACCCAACATGTAACACTGAATAGACTAAATGCAGCTTGACAGTATCGGCCTGGAGAGAAAGCACTGCTTGAGGTACATGTACCATCTTGTATAGACATACCCTATGGAATGCTCATTTTTGGTGATACTAAATATGAAGACTAAAAAAAATGGAAAAAAAAAAATTCGTGCACAAACCTTTAGGTGCTAAAAAAAATTCGTGCACAGCCCAAAGGCGAAAAAAAAAATTCTTACCAAGCAAAAATTGCCCAACCCCCCCCCTCAAAAATAAAATGGTCCATCCCTAAGTCAAAGCTCACACGAAAAAGGCATTGCCGGAACTTCTGTCACTGTCAGCGCACCGAAAGAAACAACAGAAAATTTTGTCAGCCAAGATGAAATCCACACTGAAAACACAGCTAATAAGAAAGGAAAAACCGGAATTTCGCCTTCCAGTTATCAGTCTTCTCAAGAACAAAACGCCGAGATACAGAATTCTATCGCCGATAATAAGCAAGCTACCGATAACGTGATAACTAATGACATTACAGAACAAAACACACCGCCTGTCAACGCAAATGGCAACAACACGCAAACAGCTGTCTGAATGGAAAAACCAAAAATGCCAAAGTTCTCAGGTGATGTCAGGGGATTCGCGATTTTCAAAGCGGACTTCAAACATCTGGTGGAGGGACGATATAGTAAACGTGATTCTATTACTATTCTCCGAGCAAGCTTGAATGGAAAGCCTTTGGAATTAATAAAGGGAATTGGCCACGACTACGATGCCGCGTGGGAGCATCTGGAATCAATTTATGGTGACCCGCGATTTGTTGCTGACGTATCACGCGAGATATCGCCCGATTTAAGGCTTTGCGTGACGGAGAAGACGCCCGTTTTTGTGACTTAGTGCATCTCGTGAGACGAAGTTTCAACACCCTGTCGGAAGTTGGGCGGCAAATGACATGGGCAATAATCACATGTTGGCGATTATTGAAAAAAAGATGTGTTCTGACAACTGCAAAGCTTAGAAACCACAAAATGTCACGCCACACTGGAAGCATTAATGTGCTGGATGACATCCGAAATGAAATCTAGAATGAGGGCCACGGCACCGCTGAGAAGTTCTTAGCACCTAAACATCAATCAGATATCAGCTTTTGAGGAAAAAGGGACAGTAAACCACAAGTGCTGGTTGCATAAGGTGTAAACCCATTGGACGGACCAGTGTCAAAAATTTACATCAATGTCCCCCAGTGGTCATCTCAAGGCCGTCAAGGATTGTTTCAGTTGTCTAAAACGAGCTGGTCGTGATCATGATGTTTCCACCTGTTCCCGCATACGCCAATGTAGTGAGTCATTTAACAGAAGTCAGTGCAAATACTTTCACCACCCATTGTTACACGGTGCCAATGTAACAAACTACGCTACAGCCTTAACAGTTTCATCCGTTACGAGCAGCAAACAGGCCAATTCTTCTCGTCATTCTTGAGGAAATTCTGGGATCCGAAAATGTCAAAAAGCAAGGAAACCTGCTCTTGGACTCTGGTGCTCAGGTCAGCTTAATCAAGTTGTCAGTAGCAGACGAACTCGGTCTCACGGGAAAGAAAGTAACCATCACCATAGCAAAAGTTGGAAGGGAGGAGGAAGAATTGATAATGAAGCTATTCCGTGTTCGTATCCGATCACTAGTGAGCCGAAATGTTATCCATACAGTTACAGCCGTGGGCATCCCATGTATAAGCAGTGACATTACCGAAATAAAGCTCAGTCACGTTGCTGGAATTTTGGCCTCAGAGAAGAGGAAATCCGCCTAAGAAATGGCCCGATTGACCTACTCGTTGGCATTGATCACCCTAAACTGCATACAGGTGAGACCAGAGAAGCTATTAACCTTATTGCAAGACAGTCACCCATTGGCTGGGTCATATTTGGAGCCACTCACGGAAAACATTAACAAGTGAACCGCGTCTTTAGCATAAAAGTCCCCACGCCCATAGACATGACTGACTTTTAGACAACAGAAACAATGGGAGTCGCTGCTAAGCCTTGTGAATGTGACGCGGACAAGTTACGTGCCGTAGAACCAAAAGAATTGAAAATTATTGAAGACTCCTGTCAAAAGATTGGACGCCAGTGGCCAATACCGTATCCATGGAAACGAGACCCGAAGGAACTGCCCAACAATGAAGTACAACCTAAGAAGAAAATGGAAGCAACTGAGGGCTGCCTGTCAAAACACCGGAGCATGCAGCCGCCTACGACAGACAAATGATGGAAATGACAGAGATGTAGTTTGCACGCAAGCTCACAAAACAGGAATTGGAGACATACAAGGGACCAGTCCATTACATTGCCCACCACGAGATAGGGAGACCCGAAAAGACAACGTCCATCTGCAGTCTTCAACTCATCTGCTTCATTTCAAGATCACCGACTGAATGATTATTGGATGAAAGGACCTGATCTGCTAAACAGCCTTTTTGGAGTCACCTTACGACTTAAGACAAAATGAAGTAGCCGTAACCGGAGACATTTCAAAAATGTATCACAGGGTTCTTATCCCCGAGCAAGATCAGCAAGTTCACTGATACCTGTGGAGAAACATGGAAACTAATTGAGAGCCTGATGTTTATGTAAAGACGGTGCTGACGTTTGGAGATAAGCCCGCACATGCTATGGCACAGATAACTTTGAGAAAAACCGCACACCAAGCAAAGAGTTCGTATCCCGAAGCTGCCCAGGTATTGAAGAACAATACCTACATGGACGACATTTGTGATTCAGTCCATTCCGTTCAGCCAGCCAAGCGACTGACACCACGGTCATTGGTCTGTTGATGGTAAACGGCATTTTAACTGGGACTCTTTTGTCATCTGAGGACACTGCTTTCCAGATGGATGTTTTGGCTCAATGCAACAATCTCCTTGTCATCGGCGCGGTTCTGTGCAGCATGTATGCAGCTAGCTACAATAGATGCTTCGAGTATTCTAAAATGGCCACGACGAATGATATTGATGCTAAAGTTAAGAGAAGGAAAGGTATGTTGATAATATTATTGCAAAGGTATAGCAACCTCAGAAATAATTTTCCGAACGGGTCAGGAAGGAAAGACATAAAGTCTATTTGTGTAGCTGCTTCGTGCGCCTTTTTTGGTGCTCAGCTTTCTGAAAGTAATATCGATACGGATTTTAAAGCTGTAGAACACTGTAAATTATCTGTTAAGTCCCCCTACCATCTCACTTAATATTATGCACTGATAATAAATGATACATCGTAACCAATCACGACTGTAAAACTTTGTGAGGACTGATCTGGCATGGTTTATTCATCAACTGGAAGCTTGGATTTCATTGTGATCTACTTTATATTCTATGTCTTTATGGTGTATTGATACCACTGTCTCTTTGAAATTACCTACCCACCTGTCAAATAACTCCCCCGTCTCCTTTAAGGCCCCTCCTCAAATGGGTTTGAAATATATAGGCCTCCTAGTCGGGGATTATACAGCAACTATGGTCGCTGTTCTGTAAGGCAAACATGACCTTATATCCTGAGAAAAAAATGTTAAATCAACATGCATGGTTGAATATCACTGAAGAGGACCAGTACGATATTCAGAATAGAAAGGTGCAAGATTACATATTTATATTGTTTGAGAAGGGGTTGGAATTTTTTACTGTAGTGTACCTCAAAAGTTATTGTAGTGAAACAACGTCAGTGCAGGATTTTATTTGTCAAAACAGTTTAATAATATTACTGATTTTCTTTCACGGGAAACACCAAGTGACCTAGCAAAACTGCTTGAGCAGCGCATGAGCTTGGATAGGCGTCGTTTGCAGGAGGGATTCCTACTATATGTAAGCCTAGTAACTCTTCAGAAGTACAACCTATGGGAACAAGTTCCAGCAATTCCATTTGATAGAAATGAGATGGTGGAACTGGTAACTAGGGAGTTCAATATTGCATTTATCAAGAGATGGGGAGGTGAGCAATCTTGACAAATAATTCTGATAGCTGGTTCAAATTGTTTGTGTGTTTTTAATAATAGTTAAAAGCCAGGTACCATTACTTTATAGCTTAAAACACTAAAATTTTAATTTGTTTTAATGTTATTCATAGATCACATTAATTTTGTGAAACTGCTGGTTGTAAGACAATGTTGGTGTGAGATGGAAATATGAAGAATGCCAGACAAGTATGTATGGTCAAAGATGTTGCTGAACTGCCTTTTTCATCAATCAGTGGTAGTATTGTTGTTGGTAAGTGTATTTGACAATAATCATTGAAGAGATGGAATTTTATGTGTGATGATTGTATAAGAACCACTAGTGATTGAATCACAGTGCCCATTGATTTAACAATAATTATTTTCTCAACAACAGAGCCCTGAAGTACGTCATTTTGTTTGAATAAGATGTATTTCCCTGGGCTCAATCCTATGAAAATTTATAATAATGTATGGAATAGAAGAAAACAGCACAGGTACAGGTGTTATTAATAATGGGTGTAATAAATGAAAAATATTCATATACTTCTTTATTAATGCTGTGCTGTTTGAAGGATTTTTCAAAATGCTGTGTTATTTCAATTTGATTAAAATAGGTTACAATGTACCCCTCTTTGACAATTAAAGGTGAAAAAATGATACAAGACTATTGTGACATAGTGTGTAGTACAAAACATTTAGTAACAACAGGTCACTCAAATCAATAGATAATAGAAAATGTTAATGATGTAAATGTTAAGTTAAAAATGGAAACATATGTATGTTGCATTTTAGAATATTTAAATATGCTTTAAAATTATTAGGTTGCCAGAACACAACAGCTAGAGGATCTAGATATTGTTCACAGCATTGTGCAACAGCAGTTACATTCCGTGATGACTCAGATGAAAGCAACAATCGCCAGATGACTGATAATAGTGATCAACCGGGTGCTTTAATCACTAGAACTTTGAATGAAAAGACCACAAGACAAGGGGTGTTATACGAAATATACTTATCTATTATAGACATGCTGTGCGCAAACTCCCATTAAAAGATTGTGTTAATAATCTTTCCAAAGCTAAATTATTTAGATAAAAATTTGCAAGATATTATTTAATTTCCATTTTCTAGTCAATATCTTTCTTTTAACCCTGGTTCAGGGTTGCCATGGATGGCAAAAACTCGGGGAAAAACGAAAATTGTTCAAGGTCAGGGAAAAGGCAGGGATTTTTTAAAAAGTCAGGTCAGGGAAAATCTTTGATATTGTCAAAGTCAGTGAAAAGTCAGGGAATTCTGTTTTCCTGTTTATAATTCATAAGTTTTTTCAAGCCTTTGAAATGCATTTGCTTTTGGAAAAGATGAAAAGTAGGTTGTAAAGCAAGCAAAGCGATCAATTTGACATGCTACGCCTGGCACATGTAGTAATTGTGGATTTGTTGTTTGCGTCGTGAACGCTTTCTTCCAAATTCCTTCTTCCTCTGTCCACGAAAAGCGGAAAGAGGTTGAAAATGAAGAGAAAAATATCGATGGCCTACAAAAAAATCTGAAGCAAAAGTAAACATTGATTTTTTCTCATTAATGAATGGTCAGTGAAAAGTGTTTAAAGGTCAGTGATAACCCTGTGGATTATTCAAGTGTGTGTTCCGAGGTATCCAAATTCAGTTGCAATGAGCCCTGATGGTTGGGCAGCTATTTTGATACAACAAGGAGGCACTGGATCAGATGCCAACCTAATGGGGTCGTCCTGTTGCAAAGGCAGTTTAGATCACAAGGAGGTTAAAAACAGTGAGAATCATGGATTATAATCAAATCACAAGGTTAAAAATGTGCTTGAGAAATACAGTGTAAGTATGATGTGGGAATTGATTTTCTGTGAGAAAAGTATTTATTGCATGGCCATAGTGAAAACAAAGATGGGAACTGGTCTTAGAGGAAGTTCAGAGTTTTTGAATAAAGAAAAATTGTCAGGGTTTCAAGCTTTCATCTTTAGTTTACAATTACACTGAAGTATTAAAATGATGCTGGAAACTGTTGACATCAGACTTGAATTTCTGCTAGACAGGATACTGTGTTAAATGAGTTCGCACTGTCGAAAATTAATAGCTGTACACAAAGGAAAAGTGCAGCTTCCTTTTATGAAATCAGTCAGCGCAGTTTTCAATGATCTGGCTGGTAGACGATGTTGTGAGAAATTTGAAGGCTCTTTTTGCTGCTGGAATTTTATTTGCAAAAGGATGAGTCAATTAGATGTAAGGAAACTGTTTCACAAACATACTATAGCAGTTTAGCTGGGGATTGACGAACTTTGCACAAATTCAAAAGAAAGTTGAAGTTGAAAGTTGAACATGAAACGTGGAAAAAAGTCCTTGTAATCAATGTGGTCAGTACTATAACCCTTGAGGTAAAATAGCACCAGGTGTGTTTTTTTAGATGGTGAAAAAATTGAGCTTTAAACACTGATGAATAATGATCCTTATTGTCCTGAGGGTTATCTGATTGTATGTCTCAGTGAGAGTTAGAATGGACAAAAGCACTTTTGGTCTGTTGTAACTCAAACCTGTTGCAGGATGCTAGTTCACTTTGTGAAAACGTCAAGAATCAGTTGTGCAGGTATATTGTAAATTGTGGCTAAATATTTTCTCAATATGTTTCATTCATCAATAGGTCTTATGGGCAGATGGTCGCCAAAGTTGGGTGAATAATTGTAATCTACCCTTCAAAATAAAAGATTCCTTAAAAATTGGTGATAGGTATCACCAACAGCCAGTATGTATTGATGAATTTGGGCAGCAACGCACAGAACTGAAGGAGTGTTCTATAGCATCAATTAGTGACTCGTGGGTTGGAGTGAAAACATAAGACATGATTTGTGTTTCGTAAATTGCTTCTGCTATAATAAC